AGCCATGTTATCAGGCTAAAGATAAGGAGCCAGGAATAATTAATTCGGCAAATAAATGTAAAATAAATATGATCTAAAAGACAAGAGACTTAAATTTTACTTGTATTTTTGAATAATCAAAGCAGAATATTTGAATAAAACGATTAAATCAAATTAAGACATATTAGTTTTGTATATGCCATTGTCATGGATAGAGTTCTCAAATGATTCGAGAACATACAATTAGGGAAAGATCCTTGAAGTGTGTCCGGTGCATTTTCATTTAGAAAACTTAAGAAAGTCAAGAAATTTTTCATGGCGAGGAATCCCTCGAAAATACACCCAAAGAAAATAAAAAGGAGATTTGAAATTTTCTGATACTTATTAAATAAAATAATGAAAAATATTACATTATTATTAAAAACTATTTTTACTTGAAATTGTATTGATACAAATGAATTGATTTAGCATAACAAACTCGAGAGTTTGTTAGTAAACAAACTCACCTTACAAATGAGATTACTGTCAGAACTTTTAACCGCTATTCCGACTAAACTATTGGAACCCTATTTTCCAGGTAGAAACTATACCAAAGAATATAAAAAGGAGAAGAAGTTCAGCTCTTTGAATGCGTACCTAACGCTGAGAACTGCTCGGTGTGGTATGCTATACCAGAAAAACAACTTACAGGGTGAGCAACATACTCAGATTTAACAGAGTGCCATTTGAACTGAGTTCCAGCTCGTGTACATATGAAGCAAAGTGACAGTCAGAAGATACGTCACCTCTAAACCGATTGTTGGACAACCGGGCATGATTGGGTACGCTGCTTTTTCACCAACCGTCATTTTATTCTTTCTTTCTATATCAAAATATATTAACATATTTAATTAACATGAATGACATAAGTGTATTCAACGAAAAATCTTATTTAAGAGTACCGTACTGTTAATCAATAATGTGAAAATGCCGAACAACCCAACGATAAATAAAAGAGAAAACTTTTCTTCTTCATCCCAAATACCCAGTATTGGTTAGGAGAGTGCAACCCAGTTTGCTGCTGTTGTGCCCTTAATTGTTGTTTTTTCCTTTGTTCTCAAGGACAACACCTAACCATTGGGGGACTAGTTTACATTATGTCAATGAAGGTAGACTTCTTCCCCTCCCTCTGTATCTACTATGAATACACCATAATTATCTCAAAAACAATAAGATTTCTTTTTTTTTTGTTGCTTTGTCAGTAATTTATCCCAGATCGTGAAGAAATCTTATTGGAACAGCGCACGGACAGCTCTGAAGAATAGCAAGCAACAGCGAAGTTTAATCTCACTTAATATAAAGTATAACAGCTGAAGCATTAAAACAGATTTAAACGGAACGAAGCGAGCTCTCGCCACGAAAGCAGTTCCCGAGCCAGTCAAGCGGTAGTACATAAAAGAAAAATATTTTGATTTTAAAATTAAAATTACTATTTGTTTTTAAAGCAGACAAAAAGTGTTATGTAAAAGGGTGCAATGCTTTACACCATATATCCTTTCTCTTTACAAAATAATTGTTACTTTGCGTCTAACTCGCGAAATATATAAACGATTAAAGTAAGCAGTACCTTAAAATTTACAAAAGTTTGTATTCCAAATGACAAGCTAGTGTGATTTCCCAAAAAAACACAACACTGAAAGCGTGATAAAAAATATACCCGCTAAAATAAAGATTAAAGTATGTTTTATTTTGTCTGTGTAAGATCCAAATACAAAAACAATTTGCACATAAATATTATCTATATGAATTTACCTATTAATCTAAATGATTGGACCAAATATTTTCTATATGAAATATTATCTATATGAATGAACCAAAATTACGCTATTATCATAATCATTTATTAAATGTATGTACATTTGATAGATAAATATTTTTGATCTTTTTCCATTGGTCATGTATAATTTAAAACAAAAAATACGAATATCTAAAGCTGATAAATACAGCGATTATGTTTATTTTATCATAAAGATGTCTAAAATATGGAAAATATTGTTTTAAAAGCAGTTCAAAAACACTTTGAAGCATATTAGTCATAAAAATAGCAAATATTATTGTGAAATTTTCTTAAAATATTTTTGTTAATTTATAAAATTTTACGCTCATAATATTTTATAAAAATTCTACATTTCGTTTTCAAACATTTACTTTTTATGTTTTTCAAGTTTTTGAATTATCTTTTATGGAAGCAGCACTACCGCTAAAACGTTTATTTTTCTGAAATAATATGTCAATGCAACGTATATGAAAATATTAAGTCATAATTTCAGTTATTTAAATACCTTAAATCATTAATTACAAAATGTATAATTTTAGAATTTTTTAAAAATATGTACATAAATATGAAAATCCAAAAATAATATTTTTCACTCTATTTTTGATAAATATTAGAATCATTTGAATTTTCCAAAAATTATACTAAATACGAATTATAATTTGGATGCATGCTTTATTTTTAAACAAAACATAGCAAGTATGTATTTTTAAAGCAGAGAACATCATGAGTTTAAATGTCTTTGTATAAAAGATTGGAAAAGATGCTAGTGGCTGAGTGTCAGAGCCAAGGTCAAGAAAACTGAGATGGGTACAGTAGGCTTTAGCCCTTTATGGGCTGTCGCGTCACTGAGTTTTATAAAAGATTGGGCTTTAAGCACCTATTTTTGACTTCGACTTTTTTTTAAATCTATGCTAAAAAGTAATTTTAATTTAGGTGCATGTTACATTTATCAACAAAAAAATCATAACTTGTTTAAATAATAATATTTTTTTCACCTTAAACTCTAAAAATAAAAGTTATTGTTAAAAAATTCAGCTTTAAAAATCTATTCGTAAAAATATAGACTTGTATTTTAGTATCTTAAAAAGATTTTAAAAATATGTTTTGGGGGGAAAAAACACCAATTAGCATGCAAAAGTAAAGCTGTGTTATTTCATTTTAGATTTCAGTGACTGTTTTAGGACAGAAATATTCCTTCAAATTTGATAGTGTTTTCTAAAGTATCAAAATATTTATTAGAGATATAAACTCCTTAGGAGTTCGAAATATCATGAAGCGCTATTTCTTCCAATTTAAAATAGCAATTATTTAATATCCACCTATCGTTGTGCTGTTGAATAATATTAGATCCTAAATAGCATGTTAAATACAAAAAAAAATCAAGAAAAGAAAAATTCAAATTCCAAGTTGTCAAGGCTTCTTAAATAGTTAATCTGATTTGCAGAAATAATAATAGCCATTATGACAGAGTTTGAGCAGCCTCTTGAAGGAGCGACTTCAACCAATTCAACCGATTTTGGGGGGTGAGACGGCAACTTGAGGCAACACACCCAACACATTTGTCTCCCTATTCATTCGAAAAATTCCTTTTGCGAAGAATGGGACAAAATATCAATAGGTCGGTCGCGATCCATAGAAAAAAAATTTTGTTAAATGTTTACAGCTTTGAATGAAAGTCAAATTAATAGCTTAAAAATTTAGTTAACATGTTATATTCAGTAGTGTTCTTATGTTTACTTTATAAACATAATAGTGCATTAAACGAGTAATATGCAATTCTGTTTTACTCACAAGTTAGTGGGGTAAAGTTCTGTAACTTCGAGAAATAGATTTGAAATCTTCTTTGCTGCAATTAAATTTAAAGTGTAAAAAATTCATGTTTATCTGAAGTAAACCATGAAGTTTTAAATAATGATTAAAAATGTTTCAAATATCAAAATGAAAACGAATTATGTCAGGATTACTTAAGCGGTGGTTTAGTTTTCTTTTGCTTTGAAGAAAGAAAATTCAGCATTTGAAACTTCTTAATTTAACATAAATTTACCTTTGTTGGCTTTTAACTAAATTATAAAATATTTATGGAAAAGAAGCAGAAAAATTTTCCTTACTGCATAGCGTCCTCCTAAATACTCTCGACATATTTATTTCGACATTTACTATTTAAATGAAGATCAGGTATATTCATGTGAATGAAGAAAAACAACGTGAATAAAGCACAATTTTATTTATGCTTTATTCAAATATCAAAATGAAAACGAATTATGTCAGGATTACTTAAGCGGTGGGGTAGTTTTCTTTTGTTTACGTTTGTTTTGAAGAAAGAAAATTCAGCATTTGTAACTTCTTAATTTAATATACCTTTGCTGGCTTTTAACTAAATTATAAAATATCTATGAAAATGAAGGAGAAAAATTTCACCTACGGTATAGCGTTCTTCTAAACACTCTCAACACATATATTCTGATATTTACTATTTAAATGAAGATCAGGTATATTCGTGTAAATAAAGAAAAGCAACGTGAATAAAACACAATTTTATTTATGCTTTATACCCGTTGTTTTGCTTTATTCGTTAGATTCATAATGTTTCTTACTCTTGTTGACGTTTGCTAAAGTGTTGTTCTTTCTTTTGAGCTTAGTTTTTAATCTTAGAGATGTGAACAATAACCCATTTTCTTACTAACTGACTTTGGATGTAAATTGATTATATTTTCATCAGTTCCATCGAAAAATAATGTTGTAAAAATGTATTTATTTAAATATCACTTGCATAAAGTTATTCTTTTTTCCTCCAACTTTTGGTGAAGTTTTTTTTTCTTTTATTCAAATTTTTTCAAATATTTTCTATCATACTTTCTTCTCACAAAAGTGAGTCGTTTTTTAGTTTCAACTATTTAAACAAATTTAAAGAAATACTTCTAACTCATTTTGTATTGGACAAAGTTCTTAAAACATTGTGGGCAATAACTACTGCAGATGGACAGTAACCATCATGAAAGATAAAATTTGTAAGGAAAAATTAAGTTCATTTAATTTTTAACAAAAAAATATTAAACTATACTTCATAATGTAAGCTTAAATTTACTAGTTGTTCCACAAAATTATAACCTTACTATGTTTTAGACAGTTATTAAGTCTACTAAAAAAACTTAAATAAATTATTTTCAATATTTTTAGTTAAAAAAGTAGAATACTTTTTTTACTTCAATTTTCATATTAAAATGAGAACATGAAGTAGGAAATATTTAAGCACACTGAATGCTGCGATTAAATTGGTAGTCCTTTCCTCTTGAAGTTAAAATGCAATGTTTGAAAGTATTTATTTCATATTTAAGTGTTTCTGATATCATACAAAATAAATGAATTTAAAAAAAATTTGAAGTAATCCACATGGATAAAAACTGCTACCGCGCTGCTACTAATTTATTGGACAGAATGAAACTAAGTGTCAAAACTAAGAATATGGGAATTATCGAAACTCCATACAGAATTCAAATTTTTCAAATAAAGAACAATTTTTGGTTGATCAAAAATCTCCTAACCACGTTACACCATGTGAGCAGATCATTATACTTTTGTAAATAGAATAGGCGCTTCAAATTTTCGAGATTTTACCACACTCTGCACTTTTCCTCTGTCCGTAACCATGTTATATGTAAATCTTGCTTTTCCCCCACGCCAGTGCATAACAACTTTTGTTCTACTTACAAAAAGTAAGATTATTTCTCACATGATTAGGTTCTTAATTCATTACAACTTGCGTATTCCGATTGATATACTTTCAATCTCGAAAATGCATTTTCGCCTATCTAATTTTAATGACTAAAACTAGGAATAATATTGGCGATATTATAATTTGGTGGAACATTACCCATTTTCATTAGCAGGTGATATAAATTTTAAGTATAATTTCTTGTAAAATAATTTTATGTACTTTGGGGATTTGATTACTCAAAATTCTGCATCCCATCCTGACAATTCATCAGCTGGTTCATCACAAGTTCTTGGAAATGTATCAAAGTTACTGGTGTCGGTGGGACCACATACCTAAAAAATCATTTAAAAAAAATTCAGAAAAGCTTATGATCAACTAGTTAAGTCATATTTTTTAAAAAATTGTGAGAGGCAATAGTTATTCATTTGCATATTGTTACTTTGAAATTCATATAAACGTAAAATCTATTGAAATTAAACTAGAATATCTACTGTAAAGCGTCGAAAAACTATTATTCCTGTTAAAAAATCTTAAGAACTATCTTTTAATGAAGAGTATTTCATACTGCAGATAATACTGAAGGACTAAATAGAATAATGAGTAACTATGGTATACGATTTTTTATTTACAGTGTATACACATCTCTTCTGCAGAGATGATTCTTAAACTTCAACAATAACTGAATGATTAAAATCAATGGCGTATGGAGCGTAGTGTTATTTTCTAGCATTTGTTGGTTGATTTAGATTTTAACCCCTTTCCTTCTCGCTCCCGTGAAAATGACGGGGTGAGGTTTCGCCCTCTTTTTCTCGCTCCCGTGATATTGACGGGCTGGAGTGTTCAGTAGTAACACGCCAATAAGAATGAAACTAATTAATTTCTTTTGAATGGAAAACATCTCATTTCTCATTTTACACACCAGATGGCAGTACCAGGATATTTTTAAGGTAATTGTGGAAGAGATGAAAACAATAAGAGATGTAGGAAGGAAACTCGGTACTACTGTCCTGATTGTGACGTTGACCTCTGTATCTCATGCTTTGAAATTTATCACACAAGAAAAAATTACCAATCTTTATTTATACTATTATACGTAAGTTTAATAAAATTCTTTTTTAATGTTTAAAACACATATTTTTTAAATTTTCCTTTCTTGCTGGAAAACCAACGTTAAGTAATTTTCCTAAAAATTTAATTTTTTTAAATTTCTAGCTAAAAACAAATCAAAAATTAAAAATGAATGTATATATTGTTCATACACATTTTTTTATATAATTTTCAGGGATAAAAAATAGGCACTTTTNTAAAAAGAAAGACTCTCAAGTTAAAGAAGGAGAAATCGTTCTCGTAGGAGACGATAACAACAAACGCATCAATTGGCTTTTGGGCAAAGTAGAAGCTCTTTACCCCGGCAAAGATGGAAAAACAAGAGTGGTGCGCGTAAAAACTCGGCATGGATCATACTTACGACCATGTCGAAAACTTTATAGACTGGAAGTGACTAATTGAGTTTCGTCATGACATTCGTTGTCCAAAACTCAAGGTGGGAGGATGTAACGAGCCCTCATCCCCCTCATACCAGAAAACTATCCCCAGATGGCGCCACCGGCGCATCTGAAGTAATAACTTTTTATTTTTTAAAGATCTTAAAAACAGTAGAAGTAGAAGTAATGTACTAGAGACGCGCTATGCAGCGCTATTAGCTAACCCAATCTTTTCATCACTTTATAATCATCATTTACCATTTCATGTAAATTCATCTTCATCTATTTGTAATTAAAACCAATAAAGGTTTATGAATCATCAAATTGTCGGTCTAAAGGTAAGTGGAACATTTTCCACTATTCATATTGAAAACAGGAATTCATATTAGATTGAACAGAAGCAGTAAGTGACCATCAAAAGGCATCCATGTCTTGATGACCTTCTGGGAACGTGGAAACAGTTAATCGACCGGAACTGTTATGTTATATACACTTGTGATCCTGGATGCTCTTTAAGAGGAATGAAACAATTTTTGTGCATTTGTGATGACCCTGAGAGGATTAACACTTTGAACATCATTGTTTAATACCATTTCATCTTATACCATAATAAGTCATGAGTTAACTATATTCAATCTTATTCCATTTCTACGAGGAAGCATTTAAATGATTGCAGGTTTAAAATATATTTTTAGAAATTTATTAATTTTAGATAACGTCGTTTCATGATTTTTAATGCTTAATTATTTCCTGCATTGAAATATTCTGCGAAATGAATCCTCAATAAAAACATTGCCTTTTTCACATCCTCATTTCTGTTTTAAAATTGAAAAACATAAAAACTTTTGTGAGAAGAGACTAGTGAACTGTTCACGCAAGAAAATGAATGTGTTAGCGTCTCTAAAAATGTGCAATTGTGAAGAAATTTGATGTGTCCGTTACTCCACATTCTGAAATTATCAAATGTATGATTAAATGCTATTATTTGTTAGTTGAATTTAGTTGTTACGTATTGTTTGATGGAAAAAGAGGAGCCACTCTCTACGCTACTCTGTATATCTATTATGTATTCAAGTAGTTTTTCAAAGTTTTTACTAAAAAAGCTTGTATTTTTACAAATCACATGTTAAGTATAGTTATTTTGCAATATTTTATTGTGGGTGAAAAAATATTAGGTCTTAAAGTCGCGAATTTTTATTTCAGTAACAAATTAAAATTAAACCTATCGTACTGTGTCATTTTACATAAGAAATGCCAATAATATTGCATACCCGCATTGCTGATAAACATTTCAGAATCCACTTTTTTAAATATCATTTTATTTATTAGAAAATTTCAATAAAAACAGTCCAGCTATTCTTTTCCTTGTTTCTCATTTACCACAGATTTTTAGAGTAATTAAAAAAGATAAAAAATTAAACGAACTTATTTCCGACATCCCTGAAGTATTGTAACCTACCTTTGGAACTATAGGTGGAGTAAGATTTTGTTTTCTCAGACCCTCCCAATGGAAACCTTGAAACCACCTACAAAAGAAAATAACATTCTTAATCATTCAAAAAAGGCATACATTTCTAAAATTCGCCATTCTTTTAGCAATATTTCTTTTTATGGCAGTTGTATTTTTTTAAATGTCAAATGACCCTTATTTCTTAAGTTTGCAATATAAATACAACAAATGCCACTTAAAAATATTTTAAATGAAATTACCAAACAGCTACTTTAACAACCACTTTTCATTTTACTGTAAACTCTTGATGTCTGGACATTATACATAACCATCAGAAAAAGCTATTTTACATAAATGCATTATTTTGGTGTCTTAAAAAGGTTTTAAATGTGTGAGGAGTACCTAGAAGTGGCTAGTATGTTTCTATCTGCTGTATTGTTCTGAATATGAACTAAAATAAAATATAGAGCTGTTTCAGACATTTGAAACTTAACTTTTCAAATTTACAAAATCTGGGTGATGTGAATATTGATGAATGTTGTGTATATGATGTTGTGAATATTTTCATTAAAAATTAAGAAACCAATGTCACTCCATTTTTCCTTCAGACCCTTTAACTGCTTAGTATGATTATCCTATTGTTTAAGGTAAAAAATATTGGAAAAAGCATTTTAAATTTAGTTTGAAGTCTCAGAACTACTTTCGAATTTTAAAACTTTCAATTTGAAAAAAAAAATTGAAAATGAAAGTTATTTTCGGATTCATAACTATCACACACAAAAGAATACATTACAAAAAGTTAAAAAGCAAAATATAAATCAAATGGCTTGCACTATTCAATAAAAATAATTTTTTATCATCTGATTTATGCGAAAATTAAGTCACCACTCAACCCAATATATGTAAAGCATACAAAAACATTCAATTAAACTTACTTGTGTTTCTTTATATCAGCAATGCCAGCTTTCTGGTAGCCCAGCCTTTCGGTAGAGTTATCTCTGCATAACCTCTTGATTAAATGTTGTGCAGTTTTGGGAATTAACTTAGGAAAATCTATCATGTCGATGCCTTTCAGGATAATAGTGTAAATTTGCATGGGATCTGAAGCCCGAAAAGGTGGCCTGCGAGTTAAGAAAGGTAAAATGAATCAATACTGAAGTAAAAAAAATTCATTCAATAAATATGATGACACTTACATTCCGGTGAAGAGTTCATATATGAGTATTCCAATTGCCCAAAAATCAACTGATCGATCGTGGCCCTTGTTCAGAATTATTTCTGGAGCGACGTATTCTGGAGTTCCACAGAAAGTCCATGTCTTCTTACCACTTCTTAGCTCTGTTGCAAATCCGAAATCTACCTTTAAAATTATATTTTATTACTCAATTTGCAACATCATAAAACTAGTATGCAACTTATAGAGACATCTTAAATGACATATTGGACAAATTTTTAATAAAGATAATGTAGATTGGCAACACTGATTTGCACTTTCATGTTCAATTAAAAATCACACAAGGAATATTTTAATAGAAATTTATAAGAGAATGTTTTTAGGGTTCAAAAGAAACTTTAAAATTATCTTTTTACTCTTTTATTAACGTGTTTTATTTTCAAAACTTCCCCAAAAGAGATGATAGGTTTTTAACTGTATTGTTTGGTATAAACTTCGATGTTAACTTTCTTACAGTGTAGTTTAAATTAAAAAGTATTAAGCATAAATAAGCAACTTTCTTCGTGTGGTAAGTATAGACTTAAGGTGGTGGAGCGATTTTACAAAACTGGCCCCATTTGGTTTCCAAATCGAAGAAATATGAATTTTTTACCATTGAAACATATTTGATATTATTTATTTTATAAATAGGAATAATTTCGTAGAATATCTTTTGTTTAAAATTAGTGGTATCAACCTCAAGCAAAATATTTAGCACGAAACTTTTATATTAATCTGCTTTTTAAAGGATTTAAGAAAGCTCAAAAGGTATGTTTTATCATGTTTGTGAAAAGAATATAATTTAATATACATGAATTAAAGAACATAACATATGTTTATTTTTTCATGTGAATACTTATTCTCCAAAAAGAAGATTAAAGTTAATTTCATTTTGACTTAAGACATACATTTCTGCGTTGTACTAATAACTAATTAAGATATAAAATTTGTCCATCAGTGCTAGTGTGGCTAAGAACAACCTCTTTAAAAAATTACTTTGTAAGAACTAAACAGCCTTGTAATTCTAGATATAACCTAGAATATAGATAAACATCCAAATTATTGTTCAAACAATACTTCATGAGTTAAAAATTATAATAAATTTATAAATATGATTTTATGACTAATTAGTAAAAAATGTTCTCACTACTTCCCCTCTCACCTGTAGGTCTACCCGTAAAAAAAAAATGCATGTCTACTCTCAAAAAATAAAAATATAGGTCTACCAGTAAATTTCTCTAACATTTTTACTTTGTCACTAAATATAAAGTTTTAGAAATAAACCAGTAATAATCTCTACATTAAATTTGACCCAAAATGGCTCATTTTGTTCAGAGAATAAGTTTTAAGGGGCTTCTAATACCAAATCACTATTTTAAAGTTAACTAAAAATGACTCATATCTCTCTATGTATAAAAGCGAAAGAATGGCTGACTGAATGTATGTTCGTTAATAACTCGAAAAAGGGAGCACCTCTTTGGATCGTCTTTTTCTTCTTCTATAGTTTGCAAATTTTTATGAGGTGTTTTTTAAACAATTACCTCTTTTTGTCATCAGCATGTCCAGGCGCAACATTGAAAATACAAAATTGCATTGTTTAAACACATTCTTACAGATTCAACTTTTTTTTTATCTTTTGAATGGCTTTACCGATTGACGTGGCTGTTTTTTCTTACAGATTGCTAATATTTTTTGGATATTTTTGTGATCTTTTCCATCCCTCTACGTTGAGTTTTTCGCATGCAATATTGAAAAATGTATTTTTTCACTATTTCAATTTTACACTGTCATGAAAATAACATCGTTACAAAATGCTTAAAAAAGCAGACGAGAAAAAATGAAATATCTAATGAAAGCTTGCAAAGCTCATAGTTTAAACTATGAAGTACAAACGCGTATTACAAGCAAATACGCAGGCAAAATAAAATTGTCAAAAAATAAAAAAATACTATATTTAACCGTCCGTGGTAATTTTGAACATAAATGTGCTCATTCTGTTTCGCCCAAACTGCATTTCAGTTTGAAAACGTTTAAAACTCTAATGCTGAAACTTTTTGTTGCCCAAATATTATTAATAATTATTTTTGTCTTCTTTAAACAAAAAATTTTAATTCTCTAAATGTATTTTATTATCCTTTAAATAAAAACATCATAAAAATTATTGTAATTTTTATCGCAGAGATGCTGGGCACCAACAGCAACTAGATGCATTAAACGTTAAACTCACATTAAAGTCGTATTAAATTTTAAACCCTGATTCGAGTCATAAATGTATTCATACGGAATCAGAATCAGGATGGAAAAAAATAAAAAGTAGTTACTTAAATTTGGGAATGACTTCTTTTTTTTTTCTTTTTTTTTTTAATCTGACAGTCTTATTTTTTGCTTTCACTTTAATTGTAACATATCTAATTAATGATAATTCAGAGTCTAAATATGTATAATTTTTATTTTGAATTAAATATTGTTATAAAGTAAATCTAACTATTAAAATACAAAAAGGAGTAATACTAAACTCAAACTCCCTCCCCCCCTAAAAAAAAGAGCTGCTATAGAAATATTTTTCCTACCAATATTTTTTCCACTTGGATTATCGCCACCCTGAAAATGCATATATGACTCACCCCCGTCTCGATGAGTTAAGAAGAGAAAGAATTTTACCAGCAAAGAACTCTTCATTTAGGCAAAAAAAGTTCAATAAAACTAATTGGGAATCAAAGTTCATTTTAATTAAACGTGTCATATGAATTTAAAACTGACTTCAACTCTTCAACATAAACCCTGGTTTACTTGGTTTTCTTGTCTTTTAGTTCTTGAACTGTGCCCTAAAGCTAATTTTTTTTCTTAAATTTATTTTCTTAGATCTGAGAATTCTTTTAACTTAAAAGAAATTTATATTGTTTTGTTTCGGCGAAAAAAGCCCTCTACAAATAAAATCCATTGCTTCACACGATTTATAATAGCAAATAAGAGCGTAGTTTGATTTTAACGTCATCATATAAGAACATAGTTTAATAATTGCTGACACGTTTTATCATTCATCTAAAGTGCCATTGAAAAAATGAGCGTGTTTTTTTAATAAATGTTAGCATTTTATATGCTGTACTGAACATTTTAAAGACAAAATTAAAGAGACAAAAATTAAACCCATTCTCGCTTAAGTAACATGAGTTTATACTTACATAGTGCTTTGACTTTTGACAGTACGGTTTTGAATGTATATTTACTTAAAAAGGTGAATCAACTGGTTTGGTGCACCATAAGTGGCTAGATTACTTGTAATTTAGAATATAATTATGATATAATTATAAGAACGCAATTATGTATAAATATTTAAGGTTTCTGTATTCATAATATTTCAGTTTGACTCGGATTATATAATGTTTCATGCAAACCGCACCAAAATCTTTACAGTTATTTTAACTATTGAATTCGATACGTTTTACAATTATTTATAGATTTCTTTTTCTATATGTTGTTATTCATTAACTTTCTTTCCATTGCTGATTGCCACTGAAATTTCATTTGCATAGCATTCGAAAAATAAAATGCAACCGTACGAAGTATCACAGCAATATGACAAATGATTGCGTGCATACCTAAGATACAATATTTTTTATGTGTGTACAAAACCTGATTTACTAAAATGAAAGAGTGTAGTATAAGCATTTAAAACAAAGAAAATTGTTTGGAACTTTTAATATCGCTCACCTTCATTAAAATAAATAAAACTTAACATTCTACGAAATCCCGCAAGTGCAACAAAAAATTATGAGCTTTCATGTTTTGGGAAAAAAATTAATTTAAGACAACAAATTCAAACACTTTTGTATAAAAATAGAGATTCCACACCATTTTTTATTCTAATGTTAAAAAGTATGAAAATTTTATGTAATTCATTTAAATTTTCTCAAAATTTATTTCTTAGATAAAAGTTTTCAGTCATATTGTTATAATAATGTTAGTGAAAATAAAATAACTCCGTAAGCTACTAAAAATAGAAACTGAAGAGTGAACTTTAATATTATCATTTATTAAAATTTCGAAACTAATAATCAATTTCGCAAAGTCATCACGCAACTATAAAATAAACTTTCAGAAAATGTTTACGGAAAAGAAAAACTATTAAAGTTTCAAAAACATTATTTATTGAATATCACATTTTCCCCATTAACTTTTTGAAGAAAGAATCAGTATAAATGAAAAAAAATACAATATTAACATTTCAAAAGTATTAAATTCTCTTTTCTTATTTTCCAGAAGCTTTTTAATGATTTCTTTCTTTACAGAATTTGTTTTATGCAAATAATTTTTATGAAATTAGTTTTCAGGTTTTAGCGAATCAATGTTTTTTTATTTTTATACCGTTGTTAATATTTTTTCATCCCTTTAGGGAAAATTGAAATAAAAATTCTTCAAAATTGCGAATCCATATTTTTCTAAAATAAAATCTATCGAGATAAGTATTTTAATTAGTGCTTTTAGGTTACTTCATATTTTTTAGACGAACAAAAATGTTGGTACTTACATTGAATATCCCTTTTTGCCTTTATTATTTACTTCAAGTGTCGTATTTATTGACGGTGTTGAAAATTATTATAAAAATTGATACAGCAAGTATATATTTAAAAAAAAGGATTATTAGAAGAAAAAAACACATTTTAAGTGGTTTAATCGCTTGTCGATGTGGAATACGACGGTATTTTCGTTGTGAACAATCACGTTAATTTTCGAAATACATCAATTGCTATAAATTCATTCGGAATAATTAGGTTTTATAATATTTTGTAATGATTATTTACATTGAAAGTTTTCGTTTGTTATCCAAACAAGGGCAGGATACAAGAGAGAAATGCGTGCCTGCATCTTTAGAAAATGAGTTTAGGGGACATACTTTCTTAAAATTATTAACCAAGTAATTAGATTAAGAAAAAATCCGTTTGGTTTTCTCTAAAAAAAACAATAACAGATCTGAGGAGAAATGAGTCAAAGTTAAGAGTGACTGAAAGAGTTATCAGGGAATTGTTTCCATTTGTGTCAAATTTTTACGAGTCAGTCATTTAAAGCCTAGTTAAAAATGAGAACTAGTCAAAGTGTTGAAAGGGTCCTCCATTCATCTTTTCAGCTCTACAATAGAGTAGTCTCGTTGAAAATGTGAACTACTCAAAGCGTAGAAAGGATTTTCCATTCATCTTCTTGAGCTCTATAATAGAGAAGTCTTTGAGTAGTCTCGTTGAAAATGCGAACTGCTCAAAGCATCGAAAGGATTCTCCATTCATCTTCTTAAATTCTATAATAGAGTAGTCTTCGAGTAGTCTCGTTAAAACTGAGAACTACTCAAAGCATTTTAAGGATCCCCATTCATCTTTTCAGATCTACAATAGAGTAGTCTTCGAGTAGTCTCGCTGAAAATGCGAACTACTCAAAGCGTCGAAAGGATCCTTCATTTATCTTCTTAAGTTCTATAATAGAGTAGTCTTTGAGTAGTCTCGTCAAAACTGAGAACTACTCAAAGTGTTTTAAGGATTCCCATTCATCTTTTTCAGTTCTATAATAGAGTAGTCTTTGAATAGTCTCGTCAAAACTGAGAACTACTCAAAGTGTTTTAAGGAGCCCCATTCATCTTTTTCAGTTCTATAATAGAGTAGTTTTCGAGTAGTCTCGTCAAAACTGAGAACTACTCAAAGGGTTTTAAGGATCCCCATTCATCTTTTTCAGTTCTATAATAGAGTCGTCTTTGAGTAGTCTCATTAAAAATGAGAACTACTCAAAGTGTTTTAAGTACCCCCCATTCTTCTTTTTCAGTTTATCTACTCAACGAAAAAAGAGACAATCATTGATATCCCAAGGAACAAAAATGGCAAATTGGTTTGCTGTAATATTAGTGATTTTATCTATTATTTGAAATATTTTAAAATTATTTTAGGAAATAATTCGTTTGCGAACGTAGGGGAAGGTTGCAATCATCGGGCCATCTACATTATTTTGTAGTCGTGAGCAGTTCTTTGTTGACTGTTTAGTATACTTAATGAAATTTGAAATTCGTCTTTTTAATGGATATCAATGAAACATTAAAAGTGCTTTAAATATAACTAACGATTTTTGAAACTGTGCTTAAACAGCCTTATTTAGCCATGTAAACAATAATTGTTTACGTTACTGTAACAGAATTTACGAACATCTTACATACCGAATGCCTTCAATGATCTCATGAATTGTTTAGTCAACCATAGCAATAGTATTTTGAAGAAGTACAAAAAAATTCAGTTGTATCTGATTTAGTATAAGCATATCAAGAGTCATTAAAAGTGAGTTAGATAGAAACCAAATTTATTCCGTTTTCATAGATGTACACACTCAATCGAAAATATCGAAACACTATAAATCTCACGAAAAAATGGTGTAATTATGCACTCTCTAAAGAATATATAATTATATATTCTTTAGAGAATTATAATTATAATTATAATTATAATAACTAATACAGGGTGTTTATAAAGTCTCGGACCCACTTTGAAGCTTAATAACTCATTAAATAATAAAGATAGATTGAAATTAATAACATAAATGGTTAGATAGACTCAAAAAGTTTCGTGACCCCTGTCAATGAACTTCCACGCGTGCCCCCTTCGACGCACGGAGAATATCAAGTTGATAGTTAATTTCACGCCAGGTAGCGGCGAGCATGTCGGCATCCACAGAGGCTATTGCGGTTGTAATTCTGGCTTTCAGGTCATCAATGTTCGACACGATCCTCCTGTAAACATTGTCCTTTATAAATCCCTAAAGAAAAAAATCCAGCGGCGTTATATCAGGTGATCTGGGTGGCCAAGGAATTGGACCTCCTCGTCCAATCCATCTTCCTGGAAAATGGTCATTCAAAGAACTACGAACGATGATACCCCAATGAGGTGGTGCACCATCTTGTTACAAAAAGACATGTATCTGAAGCTCTTCTAGTTGTGGAAATACGAAGTTTTCATTTCATCATTCCGAAGTTTTCTGATCTAGCTTCACTCGTTTTGGTATAAATTCTAACAGTTATTTATTGTTTCTGATTAATTTTTCAGTCCTATACTATACTTAAATTAATAAATAGATAGGCTAACTATTTGCCTTCTGCAGGCTATTTTTGTATTCAAATAGCCCATATGTTCTGTACGTAATTAAAATCAGGAATCTCCTGGCCACTTTATAACAGTGAGTTTGTTTTTGTTAATTTGTTATTTCTTAATTTGCTTAAAAGTAAGACAAGTAATTAAATGGTGGCGAAAAATTCCATCTGTGAGTGAAATTCTTATAGTCAGTCTTCATTTTTCTGTCATTGTTTTCTGTTTACCATCCTTTCGTTCAACTGAGACCAGTAGTCCTACGCCGTTTTATTAACTCGTTGTCCACCATTTGCTTCCTTGACAATTCGAAAATTCAAATATTTATCTCTGATTCTATAAATATGGAACCTCATTTCGTTAAATATTAACAATTTCTTAAACTGTTGACACACTGATGTTTTTTAATATGTTAATTTTAACTTAGTGTGGTTTAAAATTAACTTAATGCTACATTTAATTAGCCGACCGGCCTGTGTAGGGGTTAGGGAACTGCCCTTGAATCAGAAAAGTTCTGGGTTCGAATCCCGGGTAAGGCATGGATGTTCCTTCCTTTTCTGTACTATCTGTGCTTACTGTGGGAGCAACGTTGGCCCACCTAATATGGTGTCCCTGAAAGAGTGTTCAACAAATCTGCCCTTCAGATGCCTGTATGACCTAGGTCATTCTCCAAGTGGTCATTGGAAAAAAAATTTAATTTTAACTTAAGTTATTTATGTTATCAGTAAAACTTCACACGTATGAAAATTATTCAGCGAAATATTTAGGTTTTTAAAAAAAATGGTCTACTCATACTATATCTATTTCATGCGCAACAAATTTTAAACTTTCATAATAACAGATCTATTTTTGTAAAAATATTATAACCAGCTTAATATATTCGCTTCCTTTATTTAATTGATTTCACTTTACTTGTATTCGGATTTATTAAAAGGAAAGCAAAGAGAGAGAGAGAGAAAGAAATATCATGAACTTACCAGTTTCACGTACCCCCTTTCGTCGAGCATTAGATTTTCGGGTTTCAAATCTCTGTAGATGATATGCTTTGAATGAAGATACTCCAATGCTTCTATCACACAAGCCGTGTAGAAACGCGTAGTTGAATCATCAAATCGACTTCTAATTAAATAAAATGGAACTATATTTAGAGACATCATACGTGAATAACTTATTGTCTAGTTTGTTTAAAGAGCTCCGTCGTTATTTGAGAATGATTCAAAATCACAAAGCATTATTGTCTTATATCTATTATTTGGATTGGTAAAATTAAAAAAAATAATAATAATAACAATTGCTTTTAGAAAATCATGAGTCAAGAATCTGTTCTCCTTTTGTCATTTTGTTGTTTTGTTAAATTATCCAATTAATATGTCTCATCTTATTCTTTTTGTTAAATTATTAAATTAAAATATTTTTTTTATTTGCTTTGTTTAAATTAATCAGTTCAACTTTTAATCTTATTTGTTTTGCGAATCAATAATAGTCTTCAAAAATTAAAATTAGATTATTCTATTCACAGACTATTCGATAAATTACTGTCGTATGTTCCATTTCGATAATAACTCTATTCAGTTAAAAATAAGGAGTACACTTCGCGAAGATAAGATTATTTAGTTTCGCATTTTTTTTTATAATTTAATCCACATATTCTAATTGAATTAAATACATTATTTTTAAAAATTTTATGAACTTTGATAAAATCAGAAACACGTTTATGGTTTAAGAAATATAAGAACCAAAGTAATGAATTATTCCATTTATCGTCTACATTTTCAAAATATAGTTATTAATAGCAGAAGTTCCGAGTGAAAAATTATCAAAAGAATATTAAGTATTAGTTTAAAGAATTTTTTTCGTAGATAATTGCTCAAATGCTTTATCAATTCTAAGTAATTCAAGATTCCTCTGGAAAAATACCAATTTAAATAATATCAACAATATCAAATGTACGCAATTAGTATTCAAAATAAAAATATTAAACATAATTATTCATTTATTTATTCTAAGAAAATAGAGAAAACATCATTCGTTATTTTTAATGAATGTTTCTCTGAAGGTAGTACAATAACTCAGTTAATGAGGAAAAAACTCTTTAAGAAACTTTAAATAAATATCATATTTTCATTTCAGTTAGTAATTAAAACTATTAAACCATCTTTGAAACTTTTTTAACTGCTCATCACGAATATTCATGCTTCATTTGAGTGAAATTGGTGAATGAAATAAAAGTACTAGTTTACTTCTAATTCTTTCAACTTTTTGGAAAGGGATTGAAAATTTGACGGACGATAAGATCTAATTGGGAAAAATATGAGGAGAAATTCTCTTTTAGGGGTAAAGAAACGATTTGAATTCTTACAGACATCAGACATAAAAATCCAGTTTGCATTTAAGTATTCTAATTAGTCGGAAGATGGCATGAAAATGATTGATAAATTTTAATTAGTGATAAAATGATGAAACTTTCCCCTAATAGTGATCAGGAAATGGGAGCTCCAGTAGAGATTTTAGTGCTCTAGCTAGTCGGAAAGTGCTCGAAATTTGATTGAAAGATCATCAACTTAACACATCGGCTGATAAGTTCCCGGTCTAATGAAGTAAACACAACGTTTTTAGTAAAGTTCAAATTTATTCATCAACATAGTCTCCTTTAGGAGATACCAGCACTCCATCTCCTCTCTAACATCTCTATACCTTTCTTAAAAAAAGAACCATCTTTGGCCTCAAAATAGGTGTTTATTTCGGCAGTACTTCCTCATTCGTGCTGAATCTCTTGCCCGCGAGCATTTTTTTTCAAGTCTGCAAACAAGTAGAAGTCACTAGGAGTCAAATCTGGTGAATAGGGTGGGTGCGGATGAATAGGAGGTGTCTGACACAACGTCAAACAGCTCTCGGAATCATCAATTCGTTGTTGTTTTTGGTCAACTGTTAGCACACGCGGCACCCACTTCGAAAACAGCTTTCTCATAAACAAATGTTCGTGCAAAATAAAGCCTACACGCTCTTTTGACATATTTAGAGTATCAGCTATGTCATGCAACTTCACTTTGTGGTTTTCTATACCAATTTTGTGAACTTTTATTATGTTTTCCGGATTAACCACATCTTTAGGACGTCCAGAGCGTGGCGCATCTTCAACATTTGTACGACCACGTTTAAAATCAGCAAACCAGTCAATAATGGTCGATTTTTCAGGTGAGGAACCCGGATAACACTTATCGAGCCAAGCTTTAGTTTCTACCGTGTTTTTTCCCATTAAATAACAAAGTTTAATAAGAACAGGAAATTATTTTTTATCCATTGTTTCAATAATATAAATTGGTGTTCGATTAAAATCACTGTAACTTTAAAATCAATCGGCAGATCGTTATAAAATTTTGACACCTTTTATTTGAAGGTTAGGACTTGCTAAACAAAATACTAATTCTGCATTTAGGGCTCCATCTGTATGTCAGACCGGAAACTTAGCAGCCGATGTGTTACATAGAGACTAAAGTGAACTGATTTAAATCTCGCTAATTTAAGTTACTTCTATTTTTCTCGTTTATTACATACAGATGGTTATTTGAAGATAATATTACATTACCATCATCTTTCAAAAAAAAAATTTTGTGCATGCAAAAATTACAATGAATAAAGTAAGGAATTGAATGATTTTTAATTTATTGCACGCCATTAAAACTCTTACCTGTCCCTTAAGTAAGTCCAAACCTCTCCTCCTAAGCAAGCTTCCATCAGCATGTATACATACTTCTTATCTCTGAACGTGCGATACAATCTACAATAAAAGGCGCAAATGACGTTAATTGCTTTCGAAAGATTTTTCATTCCTATTATGGAATCGATTAGAAAGTTGAGAACTTAGGAAAATTGAGAACAGCAGGTCTCGTTATCTGAAATGCAGTTCATACAGCAGAAAATTACTACTCGAAACATGCTAATGAAGAGACAAGCATTTTTGAAGAATAAATCAATTAGAATGAATTGCTTTTGTGTGTTTTAAGATCTATCAACAAGCATAGTTTAGAATTAAAGCTAAAAAGAAATTAAACCTAATGAAATGATAAACATAATGAGATGTTTTTGCGATTTCATATTATAAGTTTTATAACAAGTTTTGTTACTAACTTCCAATTTTATGTGGACACCATCCAGGACTCTTTTAAAAAATGTTTATTAGGTATTACCAGAAAATATAAGCTTTAAAAGTTGTTTAAAATGATGTAAAAACCTTTAGAATTTATTTTTTTCTGTTAAGAAGACAGTAACCGAATTTCTGACATAGACTTGTTTTTAATATAAATAATAAAAATGAAATTTTGTTTTATATGCATTTTAAACTAATTAACTTATATTACAGTGTCTAAAAACTTTTAATTTTATATATTTTTAATATAATTAATTTTAAATAATTCGAACTAAACATATTTTACTAACACACGAGGTTCTAAAATTAACTTAATTTAGTGTCACTTGTTTATGTCTAGCGTATAATTCATTAGACACAATGACCTCACTATAAGAGATTTTCCTTAAGTAAGCCAACAAAAACAATTATAAAAATTTGCATCGTCTTATTTTTAGAAACAATACAACGCATGGGACGATTCCAACACAATGAGTCAGTTAAGCCTATCTTTAAACAGCTAAATTGTTCACTAAAACTGCCTCGTCGCTCAATATTTTTTGAAAAAATAAAAATGCTCTCTCAATATTTAAAGACGCGGTTTACAGACACGTAATTGGATTTCTTGTGATAAATCTATTTTCATCATCTATCAGCTGTTGAGTTTTTATGAATAGGTTACTGTAATTTCAAGACATACTGAACTTAAGAGAATAGCGTGTAAAGGACCACCCCGAATAACTTTTGATCTAATAACCGGATCTTCACATTCTAGGACTAAATCTTAATAGTATGAGGGGGTAACTTAAATATATCACTTTTTCAAATTTCGATTTCACAAGAGCTGTTCGAACAATTTTGCTAAAATTTAATAATTTGCTATTCAAAATGACTAACGACGTAAAAAATTTTATACCTTTCAATTCAAAATTTTTTCGACTGTTATTAAATAAAACAATAAAAAATAATATGAATAACTAATAAAATATCTAAATGAGAATCCTTACCTGCATATAAAAGGATGCCTGCAAGACATCATGAACTTCTTTTCGTTTATGACGTGATGCTGTTGTTCCATCGAAACTATTTGTTCTTTTTTCAGGCACTTGAGTGCAAATGTTTGGCTTGGGTTATTTTTGTACTGAACCTAATATAAAAATATTTACATTAGACTGTTTTTAGTTAACATTATACTGGTATTCATAAACTTTCTTCTTCATATTATTTAAGGAAGCAACATTATTTCAAATGTTATTCAATTAAGAATGCCTCATTCACACATTCCTCATTAAAAAATTATTTTTTCATTGCTTATCGGAACATTTTGTTGGAGATGAAAGCAATTCATTTTGATGGAGCAAATGCTTTCAGGTAATTTTTTTTTCATCAAATTGTATTTGGAGCCTTTCATATCACCCTGGATACTATTAAGTATGAATTAATCTTTCAAAAAATTATTTATTTAAATTATTCAATTTAAAATTCGATATTATTTTTGAACAAAACAGAAAGAAATGAAGCAGGCTCAGGTCGAACAATATACTATTAGAATAGGCTTTACTCCGTATGAAGTTTCCATTAAAAAATATTTAACATGGAAAGTCTTATTCCTTAGTTTTCTTTCAGAGTAGAGATAACATTTTGAATGACAGTTCTGTTATTTAGAAACAAAACTCATTGTGTCATCCGCTGCTGATGTCATTCATCTAACATATTTATTGAATAATTTAGAGTTCAATTACGAAAAAAAAAATCCATTAGACTTCAGCTTTCGATTCTTTATATACGAGAAAAAAAAATTTCCGGCTTCAAAAGTAACCCTGATATTCCCCTCTACATATTTTAAGTAGAGGTTGTAAAACAAGATTTGAATTTCTTCGTAATATTTTTTTTTCAATTTCGTACCATCAATGTAATTTAACTGGAAAACTTATAGTTTTATTCTAATTTGTTTTTCAAAGTTCATTAGTTTTTTTTCAAAAATTTTGGAGTTCTATTTGCAGCCAGTAACAAATTAAAAAAAAGATAAGAAAAAAGGAATATATTATAACTTACTAAATCTACTCGGCCAAAGCCTCCAATTCCAAGCGTTGTTACAACTTCCAAATCTTCTAGAGTTAAATCTTCAAATTCATTCTTTTCTTCTTCAGGCGGTTGACTTGGTCTTAAAATAAAATTTAGAAATGAAATATTATTAATTTGAAAACTAAACAATAAAGAAAATTTCAATTAACTTTCTCCAACTGAAGTTTGCTTTCGGAGCCAAAGTTTAAGAACAATAATTATTTGTTTAAACCATCCGACCTCTTCCATTATTTATTTATATTAGTTTCAAATGTAGAGAAAACATGGAAAAAATTACAGAACATTGAAAAAAGCGAAAAAGTAAATGATAATAATAAAATTAATAAAAATCCAGAAAATAAAAGATATAATCTTTTCATCAGCTCACACAATTATATCCGCAAAAAGGAGTGCCTTCTAATATTGTATCAATATAGCCAAAGCAAAATATATCAATACAATAGTGTGAGGAGCACTCAAAGAACATTTTTGAAACAAACAGAATAGAGCACATTAAGTAAAAATATCACTTAAAAACAGACAATAAAATGTAAATAAAAATATAAAAAAACAGAACAGTTTTTCTTAATTTTCTTCATTTTTTATCTTTTTGTCCTTTTTGTATTTATTTATTATGCTATATATTATANTATATATATATATATATATCACGAAAATTTCTTAAGTACTTTTTTATTTCTCATTTCCTACTTAATTATTTTCAATTTGCATGTCCACTATAACTGAGTTATCAATGGCACTGAGTAATCACTACGGAAAACTGGGGTTCGATTCTAGTGACGGCTTGAGCCTCCCTTGCCCAGCATCAGACAAACGGATATCATCTTGTGTAGAAAGTAAACATGGTATCTGTTTAATGTTGATCAAATTTCTATAATCATACCATTCGTTTAGAATTTCATTTTACGGACGGTGTCCATTCTTTTACCAAGTTTCTTTTGCATAGCAACTGTTTTTTTGATGGACAATGTTGCCAATTTTTCAGGTGGATCCTATATTTACCACATTGTAAAATTATGGGTGATTCGTTATTTAATATTTACATTTTTGTATGGACTTCTTCTGGAATTTCTGCTGATGAAGTTTGTCTGTTTTTCAGTCAGATTTTTTTTTTACAGTTTAGTTTTCTAATAGGCCTATTATAAACTATGGTTTATAATATTTTTATTATATTTTATAATATATTTTTATTATATTTTATAATATATTTTTATTATATTTTATAATATTTTTATTATATTTTATATAATTTTTGTTATATTTTATAATATTTTTATTATATTTTATAAAATTTCATTATATTTTAAAATATTTATTAGTATACTGAAAATAGGAAGCTGTCTTCCTCTAAACGTTTAGCAACAGCTATTTTTCAAAGATCATAGATCTCTAGTATAAACCTTTGTTTTGAATTCACGATCTACTGTCACTGTTGCTGCTTGCTCAATCGAAATTTGCTTTGCGCAGGAATGGGTTTAGCAAAACAAATCTTAATTACTTTTGATATTACCATACGAATTATATTACATTTTTCTCATACCTATATTTTATTTCTCATTCCTATTTTTTTCACTTTTACTATTATTTTACAAAGGAATTATTTCACCATTTATGTATACACCAAGTTCACCCGTTTATATGGCTGATTTTTATTGACTATTTGATGAATGCGCGTTCTTTCAACGGAGAGAATAATTGAAAAAAAAAGAATCAATAAATCTGTATTGATCAATACTTTGAAATCATGCACAAAATTAAAAGGCTTATATTGACACAAATAGTAAAGTTAAAATAGTTCCGATTACTCATTTGTTATTTGTATAGCCTTGTGGCTTTACGTTAATAAATTAAGCAAACAACTTTTGTAGCAATTTTCATCAGAATAAATATTAACGGTAATCAATATCACTTGGCGTGATGCTGTTGATTTCGGCAATTTCATGATAGTTAAAAATTAAGTAATTTATATCAAGAAATTTTCTCCTGTTTTATTCCTTTCGAGAGGCTGTAAGACACGTATTTCCGCAGTATCTATATTAAAACTGCTCTTATGGAGCAGTTTTAATAATTACCTAATATATCATAGGTACAAATATTAATATATATGATACCTATTACATACTTTCGAAACATATGAATTTTGCGGAAAATACATGGATCAATGAGGAAGGTAATTTTACCTCCGTCCGTGAAATTCCTTAATTCACACGTGCCACCCGGGAAGGGCTAAATGAGTAACAGCTATAGGTTATGGCAGTTCACAGTAAAGCTCAGGGGATAAAAATTGTTTGTTTTTCTGTACTTCAATGGAATGTTGGCGGTCTTTCCATCCAATTTGTGGAAATTAAGAAAATAGTATTTGAAGAAGATATTGACATTTTGATAGTACAAGAGGCAAATATCACTGAAGAAAAAATTAAAATATGTAATAAGAAAGATTTCACTATATATGGACTTTATAAATCCAGACAGATTTCCAATGGAATTCTTGTTGCAATTAAAAACAAGTTAGCTTCATCTTACAAAGTGGTGAAAGAGATTAGCAGTAATGACGCATTAGAAATTCTAAAAATTAACTTCTGAAATAGGAATTCAGCTTTCAAACTTTCCGGTATTTATAGCCCACCAAACAACAGCCATTTTAACCTAGATATGTTGACTTCATTAAAAAACACAATTATTATAGGAAATTTCAAAGCAGCATCTTCAAACTGGGGTTACATCTATCAAAATGAGGTAAGGCAAAGTGTGGAAGATTTTATAGATATCGAGGCATTATTACAGGTCAAAGATGATCCAAACACCTTTATTCACTATTCAGGAAGTTCGAACAAGGCAAACTTAAGTATGGTCTCTGCAAACATAGTTGAACGATGCAAAAGATCTGTGCTAGACGATCCAGGTAGAACGATTAAGACCTCGATTTCAACTAAAACTATTAAGGCTCCTTTAAAAAGTATGTGGATTTACAGAAAAAGCCTGGTTGTTTGTGAAATGAATTTACCAAAGATGTTGAAGAAAAAATAAGTAACTTAATGAATGAAACTTCGCCATACAAAAAAGCTTCGACTTTTATAATAATTCTTCTTCAGTGTGCAAAAAAGAATATCCCGCGAGGAGGAATGAAAACATGCGAGCCATTTTGGAATTACGAACTCAACAAAAGAGATTAAACCAGGCAGACAGCTGAAAAAATTTATCATAAAACTGCCGTGGAATGCCGCCTAAATGCTATTGCATGGAGACGTGAAAATGCTGTCATGAAAATAAATGTACCTGAAGTCAAAAGAGAAACTTGGAATAATTTTCTCAAAAGATGAACTGTCAAATAGATGAGAATAAAGCCTATAGTTTGATCAACACTCTCAACAGCAAAATAACCCCAAAAGTAAACCATCCAACGAAGCTGGAATAGGTGACAAAGATAGTCGAGATACAAAATTAATTGCTGAAAAATTCAGCGACTACTATCTCAATAAATTCTACTTAAACTAAGAACAAAAGAAAAGGGAGAAGACACAGCTTAGAATCAAATTATCAAAGATAAATGTTTTAGATTCCATTTTAGTAAATAAATTCACAATTGCAGAACTCAACCAAGCAATTGAAAGCATCCCGAGAGAGTAACAATCAGGACCAGACAAAGTCTTCCCTGGGGTCATTAAGCATCTACGGGAAAAAGCCAAATTTCTTCTTCTCTCCATTTATAACACTTTTTTGGAGAAAAATATTAGTTTCGCAGCTGACTGGATGAAACAAGTCTTATCTCAATTTAAAAACCGGGGAAACAAAAAGAAAATACTGAGTCATAAAGACCAATATCACTGACATCCATTCTAGCCAAAACATTCATAAGAATGATATCTTCCAGACTCAAATTTTTACTGGAGTCAAAAGAATTAATCCACGAAGAACAGGCAAGATTTAGAAGCAATATGTCTACAAATAACTCAATAAGGAAGTTAGTTCATGGGATAGGTGAGAAGTAAATGAAATGACACAGAATCCCAATTCCGTCAAAATAAAAATGACTTACCACAAGGAGCAGTTTGTAGTTGCTCTTTTTTAACACATAAATTAATGACCTCATACAAAAATTAAAAGAAATTCTCGGGATTAATGTCTTCATGTTTGCTGACGATTTGGTGATCTGGCAAAAAACCCTAGAAAATATCAAAACCAAAAACAAATCTTCGCAGGTACATGAATGAAGTTTTGAAAGTAATTGAACTTGGTGCATTGATAATATGTTTTTAAACAAGAACAAAACTGTATACCAATTCTTTTCCCTTAGAAAACTTCAGACAGATTTTGAATTGAAGAGGGATAACGCTACATTAAGTAGAAGTAATTGTACAAAATATCTAGGTGGGATAATAAATGAAATTTAACCAACCATGTGAAAGCAGAAGCGAAAGGTAGAATCTCAATGACTTGCAGTGGCTAAATGGGGATGCATTTAAGCGACCCTGAATACAACAAATATGTTAAACCGATGATCATCATCGTTAAAGACTTGTTGTTTTCAATTTATTGTTTAAAATGTTTATTGATTCAAATGTTTATTGTTCGTTCAAACTAATTCAAATGTTTCTTGTTCATTTATTCTAAATTGTTGAATTGCTAAACTTTTACTGCTTCTCTGTTCTATTTTATGCCCCCTTGTGATGAAGTGAACTGTCAAAAAGCGATATGAAACACATTAGTCAATGGTAGCAAACTGTAGCTAAAATTTTAAAAGAAAATAGAATTATTATAGGACTATGATAAAGTCTTAGCTCTAAAGTTTTTATCAAAGCCAATGATCATTCCTTTTTCTGATTATTAAAATTTGCTTAAATTATTTATAAATTGTGGAGGAAAAAAGTTCTTTTAAACGTTGTGGGGAAGGTCTTTCCAAGGGTAGAGCACAAGTTGCTAGGAACTGTTTACAAGTAACTATTTTATTGGTAAGGAGTCGATCATGCCCACTCATCCATGTGAATTTCGGAGTTAAGATAATCTAAGGATTGAGGCAGAGATATCTGACGAATTAAATAATGATAACGATGTAATATCAGAATTTGAAGCTGGAATTTCATATGAAAATAAACGCTAAACTGTATATGGCATTGTGGTTGGAAAATAATAAACATGTGGCAGAAAAGAGATTTAAAAAATTAAGATCACCTTTAAAAAAGGACTTTACTTTATTAAGTGAATATAGATCAATTGTAAAAGACTATCTTTCCCAGTATATCATCGAAAGTGTCCCAGTTGAAGAGGAGATTTTGCAGAAAAACATATTTTGTCTACCACAGAGAGCAGTTATTTCTACTGACAAGGCTACAAGCAAAGCATGGATTGTTTTTGTTGCAGGATCACATGGAGGAGAGTTAAGTTTAAATGAATATCTACACACCGGTCTTAATTTCACAACCAACTTATTTCTTCTTTTGATTAAATTCAGAAAAAACTCGATTGTTTCAGTAGCAGATATTAAAATGGCCCTTTTGATAATTGAAATTAGTGAAAATGAAAGACACTTTACAAGATTTTAACCATATTTTAATTTTTTTTCAAAACTTGCCATCTTTGACATATCTATATGCATAAATAAAAAGTGGTTCTCTCCAAAGTTAAAGACTCATCATCGAATTTAAAGTGTCACTCCACCATTATACCCCTTTACTTTTACTCTGTAACTAAAATGGGCTTATACATGGGTGTAAAATTCCAGTTAGTTGAAAAAACAATAACCTATATAACAAAAAAATACTTAATTCAGGAAAAATATTTGATCCCTAAATAAAATAAACAATAAAATTTTACGTGTTTTTTGTTGTCGCGAAAAGTTATTCATTGTCTGAATCGAAGAACAAGTTAAAATGCTTCATCGGAAACTGTATCTGTAGCAATTTATTAACAAAGCCATATCTCCTGTATGGTCGTTGACTTCCCTTATATATTAAATTATACTTAAATTATGGCTCGAAAGATACGTGAGGAATTAAGTACAAGCACGCAATGGAGTATTGGGATGAATTTTCCATATTTTAATACTTCTGCTGCCTATTATACTGAGATGGTTCGAACTCAAACTTAAGGTGGTTTGTGTGACTCAATGGCTGCCAGACACATTTTAAATTATTGCTAAAATTCCGCGCATAAAATACTTTGAAAATAATCGCGGATTCTCTTGAAAACAGTTAAAATTTAAATCAAAGCAATTCCGCGCGGGAAAAGCCGCGAGCAACAAAGGCTGACGCTTACCCCTTGAGAATATCCCGAACTACATAAATGATAATTTCGAATGAATTCTCGAATCAAGGGCTGAAATTCTCCCTTGCAGCAACGGTTATAATTTTAGATTGATAGAACAAACTGTTCTGGAGTTACAAGGGAGACGCCCACAAACTCTTTATTTTATTATTAAATTGATTGCAAAGTTTATGCTTTATAATAATGTTTAAAATATTTTATTTAAAATATTTATGAACAGCTATTGATCAACAATTACATAAGACATTAAAATTTTAAGTATTGGATAAATAAAACTGACTGTAATTGTTATTTGTGTTAAACACTATAAATCAATCTTCCATGATTGTCTCTTCGCGGTTTAAAACTTTTCATAAAATGAAAATTGAATAAAAATGTTAATATAAAAATAGCTTTTTTGAAATACTAGAAGTTCCTTTTTTCGATGAAACTTTGATGAATATAAAGGAGAAAAGTTTATTTAAAGCAGGAACATTTTTAAAACACAATCATTGTATTGAAAGAGAAAAAGTTACAAATGCTCCAAAATACTGTTAACGAGTAGTTATGCGTCGAGAACTTCATTTTAAGCCTTTTAAAAGCTGAACAAACATTATGTACTTCTGGTTTATTAAATTTCCTATTCCAGCTGATGAGTTGTAATTTTTCGTACGAAACTTTTTCTTGTATTTAAAACTTCGTATGTTTCGGTTTCAAGGCTGTATGAATAGAGTAAAACCAGCTTTTTCTAGTACAAAACGTAGAAAGTATATAATTTCCTAAATATATTTACAAAACAATTGACACAATTTATGAATAATAAAGTAGGGTTTTATTTCTTGAAAAAAAAATCATTTATCTGGTGTGTAAGAGTATTACAAAAAGAAAGGTTTAATTTATTGAAAATTTTATGACGACATATCTCTATATAAAAAAATCGTAAGCAACAGCGCTATTTTGGAAGTTCAGTTTTACGTTATATTTTGCTTTGCTGCAGTCACTAATGTGACGGTTTTGTTATTTGAAAGCATGTTTAACAATAATGTTAGGATATTTATTTATATTTAAATCTGTCTAATATTTAAACTTAAATTAAATATTATACTAATTTCATAAATATAGAAACCGTCTTGCCTTTCATAGTAAATAAAGTGAGCTTGTGTTGTTTCTCGTTGTTCTCCTGTTCTGGTTTCCTTTATCATTTGTGGAATATTTATACAGTTGGGATGAAACCGGGAGCCCTAGGTCTTATCTCGCAAATGCTACAAAAAGGGTTCCATAGAAAGTTAAAAGGTCAATTGACCATTAGATTCCATTCCAAAATCAGATCATAGTATTTTAATCAATTGTTTCATTGTCAAAAATTTGAACAAGAGGAATGCCACAGCGAATGTCATGGTACTTAGCAACTCCAAATTGCAAAGGTGACTCAAAAAAGATATATGCAGGAAGTATGATAGGCAAGATAAGTATGAAAGGTATTTACATTCGATAATTAGTTCGACAATAATTAACTTGTAATAAAAACGTACCTTAGGGGGCATTCTATACCCCATAACAATGCAATCATTGAGTTGAAATTTCGGGTGCTGAAAAGCCCATTATTCATCATGCACTGAACCACTTGATTTTTTTCGAAACTTTAATTCGAACGAAAGTTATCACTGTTTCTTTTGCAAATATTTTCTCCCCCTTTCTTGCTTTAAATAATTACTATATGTCCATTGTTGTAAAAAAAAAAGCTTATTTATCTCTCCACATCTTTATTTATATGATAATACTTAGGCTGATGGTGAAAGTAACATCGAAGGAGAGGGAGGAAGATAGGACGTTGCTATATGTAACATCTTAATACTTATATTGAAATAGTTAAAAATATTTTTAAAAAAACTTAAGTAGAGCATTCAAGAGAAAACCGTTCCCTATTTGAATTGAAGTAATAACGTAAGTTTATCGTTAACAAATAAAACGACAACCTTAATACAAATAAACTTTAAGGGAGTTGAATCTTGATAATCATCAACTCAGAATTCGGTCGGCTGCTCAATGCTGATTATAAAATAAAATATTTTATAACATGAGTGATTTGCTAGCTTGCATCTTTAATCAATTAAAAATTAGTTGCATCGCACGTTTTTATGAATTATTCTAAGTTATCTTCAGTTTCCTATATTAGGATATCACAGGTATAATCAACGTTAATAATTTTGCAACGTATGGTGTCACGTTATTTGGAATGGAGCGTTAACAATTTCACAACTTCCCCAAAATCGTATTTTGAAAAGTATTTGAAACCTCATGTTTCTTATACTTAATGGCGTTTCTCATATTAATATGAAACCACATGTTTCTTATACTAATATTTATGCTTTAATAGCGTGCTTCCATACATTTAAATAATGGAAAACAGGAACTAATAGTATAAAACTGAAGTTATCAATTAAGCTATTGGAAAATTGTAGTAAAGTGTGAGTAATAATACTATATGTATAGTTAATCTTTCTTTTGATGAGTTTAACTAACTCATATTATAGTAACTCTAATAATATGCAGCCGTATTGGAATATACAAAATGTAATAAAGAAAATAAAGGATGTGTATTATAGTAATATTGTGGTAAGTATACTACGTTTCGCAAGGTTGTGAAAAACTACTATACCTATATTAAGCCTCTATAATGGTGTAACAGGTTCTCATTACCACAATACATATAACGGCAATGCCAGTAGTATTTAATACTATATTTAATTAATCATCGCTGGTGTCAAGAACTGTTTGGCGATATTTTACGGCCTTCGAAATAAGTACCGTTATTCGCTCGTTTGTCAAAATCATGCAAATGTCGTTACTAAAAGTTTTTGCGAATTCAAATTACTTGAGAAATTGTATGAAGAAACTAAATTAATGGGAAAAAGACACTTTTCCATTTAAGAAAATTATAAAAAACTGCCATAATATAATAGGTGCCAATGATGCTCAATTACCTTTTTAATAGGTACTACTAGTATTTTGTTAATTGGGTTTTTTAATAGGCAATAAGTGTAGAAATATTGATACCTAAATACCTACCATAGTGTTGAAATAGGTTTTGTACTGCCTCCGAAGGGGATAAGTACCAGAGAAAATTGCTGATTATGATAATCAGGAGTTGATTTCGAGCAATAGTATTATGGCAAATGATACGGAATATCTTAAAAATATGTTTTGTTTTGTCTGATAACATAAAGCCACCAGGAAGGGCAGCAAATAACTTTTAAAGAAATTGAATTCTTTTAGCTCAATTCATCGTACCGATGCATGTTTTGTTACACTCTCAGTTTTGTGCATGATATCGTAGTGTTGATTATTATGGTTTTTTTTCCTCCGTAAACACCAAAAATGGGTATTCAACTAGTTAGTTAATATACGATACTGTACAAAAAGATTTTTTTTAAAAAATAAACGAAATCCTTCGAAGATTTTTCCGATTTCCCAAAAAGCTGGTATTGGACCCAGAGATTTATCTTGACTTATACTCTTGTCCAGAGTCCACAATTTCTGTACGCAGCTGCCTGCGGCCCATTTGTGAGCCGTAGCCACTTGGTTGTGAGCCGCTGCTCTTTGTGATAGTATTTTACGGTAATGGCATATTTTACTGTAAAGGCTTCCTTCTTAGTTTTCCAGCATGATGTTATTCAATGGGAATGTGGAGTCCGGTCGGAGTTCATTATAATTTTTCAACCTTTTCTTCTCATTATTCCTTTCTAAGATATATTTATTTGAAAATTATAAAAAGTCACCATTCTTACTTAAAACTCTGGTCGTCGTATTCGTATTGTTTATCTTGGAGTTCTCTCAAGTCACCGATTAACTCTTTGAAAGACCTGACAATAAAATGGAATTCTCTTTAAGTGATAATAAAATTATTTTATGAAAAATCTGTGATTTAAAAATGTAGTTAAAAACTTACTCTCTATTTAATGCTAAACATTCAACTCCCGGATGTGCTGCGACAACATTTGCAGTCCTTTTGTCTTCACTACAAGAAAAGAAATTATCAATTAATAATAGTAATGAATAAAAACTATAAACAGAGAAGTTATTCGAAGTGTCATACGCAAATCAAGCTGAATTTTTTGAACAGTTATTTTTTATGGAATCATGTATATTATAATCATTTGTCTATTTTACAATGATAATAGAAACATAAATTATTGGAAATGTAAGCTTGTACAAAGAGATTTGTAAAGAATCGCAGAAATTTGCCAAGTTTGCGATAACTGATATGGCAGGATGACTTACGTTTAAGATTTAGAAAAATAATTTCGAACAATTTATTGTTCAAAATCAACTAAAGTACTGCTAATAAATTTCTATTATACTACTAATAAATTTCAGTACTGCTAATAAATTTCTATTATAAAAATGCCTGTGAAATGCAGAATTGTGCAGGAATTTATAACTCAACACAAGATTTTTTTATATTATAATTCATTCTTTTAAATAGCAAATATCATGACTTCCGACTAAGAAGTCTTAAATTTAAAAATAAAAATTTAAATATCCAGTAATGCTCATCGTCTGCGGAAATATTTAAACTTGGCGACGTATTCATGGTAAAAATTACAGTCTTTGATAATTTATAACTTAAAGGTTGCTTCAAAATGAACAAAATAAATTTTATGTATGATTTCAGAAACTAACAAGCTATCTTGTAACTTAAAAATGTTTAGTTACGCTCTAATTTATTTTGATAAATGTATGCAAATTATGTTTGTTTGAATTATGACCAAATATTTTGTGCAATAATTTCCTATTTTTCTGTACAACATTATGAGCTTTTTTGGGAAAATATTTGCGTTAGAGGAATATTTTACTGTTAATAGTCATTTTTTAAGTTTTCAATTTTAAATCCATAATTTATATTGACATACATAACTGCAATATTATTTTTAATGTTAGATTATTACAATGCAAAATAATCATTACAATACACTAGAATCTATTTAAAACATAATATTGCATTACAATACGATATAATATTTAAATGTCAGTTATTCGCTTTTAATGTTAGATTTTGACTTTTTTTTAATAAACAAGTAATCCCTCCACCTAAAATAACAAAGTATTATGATTAGCGAGACTCATTATAAATATTTGTAGCTTTTCATTGTAATAGAATGTGCAATATAATATTTTTATTAGCAAATTATAAGAAGTAACACATTCTTTGATATAAATTGTATTTTAATTATCGATAATTTGTAGATTAAAAAATATTTACTTTTACCTACTAGGTTGGATTATAGATTAAAATAAAATATATTTAATATATTACGTACATTAAAACAAACTGCTTTCTTTATAACAAATTTTATTTCTGCTAAATTAAAATAAAAAATAAAAGTTTTTTTTTAAATTTTAATAAAATGATTTTCAATTATTCAAAATCAATCCATTAAAGCTCCTCATTTTAAATTTTACATAATTTAATGATACTAACAGATGCATGTCAACATTAAGTCAAAATTCTCAGTGCATATCTCACAATAAATAAAAAGCTTCACTATTTTCTTTTGTGCCATTTTTAATAACTTCAAAGAAATATTTTTTTTTTGCTTTAAAAGTAAATATTTTTATTTTTGGAGTTCACTTACAAAGAAAGGTCGACAGAATGTCACTCACTAATCGAGCTGAAATTTTTTACAAATAAGTTTTTAGGTTGACAGATCATGAATAATTTTTTTGTCCATTTCGAACTAATTATTCAGTTAAAAATTATCAGAAACTGCAATTTTGAATACGTCAATTATTCCACAGAAAAAGAATATAGTCGACGAAAAAAGTCATTATCACTTATGACTTTTCTTTTTAATTGTAGACTTTATTTGTGTTTTAAACGACTAAAAGATTAATTTATTTGGAATTAGAAAGATCCTTAGTTTTTTTATAATAATATTTTTAAAAGTTTTTTTTATCCACAATAGCTAGTGAGGAAATGTTTAAAAACTTATTTGATAATCAATTACAACTCAGAAATTTATATCTAAAGCAAAAAATGGAATTTATTTCAATCCAATCCTTATTGGAGATTAAATATTCACATATTTTAATGAAAAATATTATTTTGTATTAGAGCATTTCAATGTTCTGAGAAGGAGATACTGAACTCAAATTAATGCATTATTTAATGTCATTTATTTGAAAACACATATCCAATTTCAAATTAAATTGCTTGTTTCAACTTAACTCTTGCTGTTTTAACAAGTTGTAACTTGATGATGAAAGGGACAACACGTGGATTGCATGGCTTATCGATATTGCACTCACCAACTCGCAAAAGAGAAAAGAAAAGACTCACAGAGCACTGATGTTCTGTTTCAGTTAAATGTATGGGAAAAAACGTATGCTAAAAATCTTGTTTTTTTCTTAATTCATCTATATTAAATTATACTCTTTTAACAATTTTGATACGATATATCCTTTGTACTCTCTTAAAACTTTCAAAAAGTTGAGTAATATAAAGGCTTCGTGCCAAAATTTTTACTTGAGATTGAAACCACTATTTGTAAAGGTATATTATGATTCTAATTAATGAAATAAATAACATCAAATGTGTTACATTTATAATAAACTCATATTTTTTTGATTGTAAGTTGAATGGGGCCAGTTTTGAGATGTTTACTCCTTAACCATATGTCAACACAAGCCCCACGAAAACATATGGTTATGTATTGTTTAATGCTGGTTAATTGAAACTATATAAGGGAAACAATAGATAGGAGCAATATATAAAGAATTGCAACTATATATTGAAACTAATATCAAAATAGATATTAAACCCCATAGTCTATCCCTTTTTGTTGAAATTCTGAAAATAAAATATGTTAATAAAAGAGTAAAGAAGAAATTTTAAAGTTACTTTTTCACCTTAAAACATCCTTTCATAAATTTTATAGAGTATTATTCATTGTGTGATTATGCAATTGCGCATGGAAGTACAGCATTAGTTTCCAGAAATTTTTTTCTCCAAAAATTAAACAAGTTATTCAAGAAGTCCACTGTAGCCTCATGTCCCCACCTCTATATTAAACGCAGTTTTTTCAACTGCATTATTTATAGCGAATTTGGAGAAATTTCTAGGTTCTTTACAAATATTTTTGTCCAAACTTCAAGTTTCTGAAACCAATGCGAAAAAGGCGTTTCATGTATGTTTTTAAAAAAAATAAGTAAATAAAAAAGTAAATAAGAATAAATTAATAAATTTTTTTAAAAAAAATGAGAAAAAAACGATAGAACTTATCCTGATTTGCGAGAGATGCATTCCCTGATATTTAAGATATTTACTATAATCACAAAATCATGTAACTTAATATAATACATAAAAAAAAAATTCAAACATTACTTAAGTAGAGCTCTTTCACCGAAATAATCCCCTTTTCCTAAACATCTGATTTCTTCCTCTATGTCAAATCTTCGTCGCGTCACTATCACCTGTAAAATATTGTAGTTTATAAATTGATTGATAACTGAAATACAATTCATTAATAATGAGAAGAGACAAGCACAATACTATTGCCAAACTAAAGTTATAAATACTTTGTTAGCAATACAAATACATTAACCTATTATTATTTGAAGAAGTTATGCCAAATAATAAAATTGTTTAAAATGATATTATTAAGACATATTTATATATTTTCGAAATGATTATAGGTTTCACATTATAGGGCAAAGTTAGGACATTTTGTTACATGTCAGAGAAAGGTAGTAGCATATTTAATAGGGATCACTTTTTTTAACTGTTAAAAAAATTTAGATGTCATTAATGTAATGCATTTCTTTTGAAGCATTTCTAAAAATGTGATTAAAAAAAGCAACAAAAGTTAATTTCTAAAATAAAGAAAAGTTTTCCTGACCTCTTCCAGTATGTTTATTTATAATTTAAATATTGTACACTGATAAAAAATAAAATATGGGCAAAACTACCAGAATCCACAGATTTTACTGTGTTTCTGGCTGTATGGGGACACCAGAAAGCTCGGTATTTTTTACTAAAACACTTTGGTTATGATTTTAATGAAATCAACAATAAATTATAGTTTTATATTATGTTATAGAATTAGGCAAATGTAAAATTAAATCATTTTATCATGATACCTCACAGCGTGAAATAAAAGTCATTTATTCAATTAATTTAGTTAATAAAGAATTTCCGATAAACCGATATCTTATGAACGGAAAAATTACCAATTGAATGATTTAAATACCGTAAATTTTGGTTTCATTAACCAGATATGTGGTTTCTTTTTATACGAAATGCCATTACCGTACTGTACGTAATTTTACCTGATTTTTCTACGTGTATGTTTCTCTTTCGAATAATAAAATTTAAGGTGTGAGTTTTTGAACCAATAAGGCAACTTAAAAAAATATCCTTATAAACAAACATACAATTTATTAGTTACAAAATATATTTCAAATAATTCTAACCATAATGATGGAATTAAATTTGATTACCTTTAACTACTATCGGCGGTAAATTAAAACATAGTAGTATGAAATTAACTTGAATGCAACCTTAGAAAGCCAGATTCAGTTCCCCTGTTGAATTAGTGTAGAATAATTGAAATGCTCCGGGGACGATTAAGTTCCCGTTTAATTAATAATACGAGAAGGTGTAATTAATGATACGAGAAGAATTAATAATGCGTGTTTTGGAGTACAGGGAGTTCATTTACGGCGAAAAAAATTGTTATCGAACTGCGATAAACAACAAATTCTTTAATCACAGTATTTTATACTTAGTCGCATCTGTGGCCGATGTTAATCCTAAATGATGCTCTATATCCTACACAAACCTTAACATATAAAAAAAATAAAAAGAGTCTTGAAAAATTGTTAATTGTGTATGTGTGACCGAAAATAAAGTTCTTACAAGTATAATATGTTTGTTCGTTTTTAAAAATATTCATAAATTTTTGAGAAATATTTTAATATTGCACAAAAATGTAGGAATATTTTTTTTTGTGAATTTTTGTAATCTCAAAGACAAATTGACTTAAAGAATTGAACTTTTAACTATCTGAAATCAAGGTCGAATGAGTGTTACTGTTTCTCTCGTCAGTAGGAATGTCCACCGTTGGAAACCAATATAAATATTTATTGAACTATTCCAAAAATCAAGCAGAAATTTCTTTCTCACATTTGAAAAAAAATATTTTGACATGTGAGCATCCCAACTTTTTATCAACAATTTAAATAAATTTATAAAAATCTAATAATAATTTTTGATTATACTTTATAGTTTTATGACTATTTAAATTTTAAAATGCGAAAAATCGGGATAAATTTTGCATTTATTATTTTATATAAGTTAAATAGCACATGAACACTAGGAGAAAAGCAATGATTTCCTTATTAATTATTTTATGTAAGTTAAATAGTACATGAACACTAAGAGAAAAACAATGAGTTCCAGTGTTCTATTTCACTTTTTTCAATTTTTGTATCAGTTGTTTTTGAAGTTAATTATAATTACCGAAAAACATTTGTTAATTTTATCATTAACTTCGTTTTATAAGTCGGAACACAATCAGAGTCCTTGTATTTTTTTAAAATAAGAAAAAAAATGAAGGATATTTAAAAACAAAATATGATTTTTAATACATTGTAGTTCAAGAAGGATACGATTGCATCCAGTTTTGAATCTCTTTGTAGGTACCCACTGCGATTGTACCCCGTTTTAAACCCCTTTGTGGAAACCTGACGCCAAAACTCAGAAAATAATTAAAACATCGAATTTTCGAAATTGACTTGGCATCAAAATAGCTTCATTTTAATTACTTATTTAATTAATTCTAGGCTACTCTATATCTTAACTTTAAAAGAAATGAGGCATGTTTCAATGTGGCTCAAATTAATGGTATGTTTTTGCATGAAAATCTAAGTTCGAGAATACAAGTAAGGAATTTTTTGTTTTAATAATTTTGTCATCTTTTCATGGTTTTTCATAAATCTTTTGAAATACCAATGAACGTTTCAATAAAAGAATAAACAATTTTGGTTCAAAATATTTTAAAATAGACTCTTACCTTTCCTTTGCTAATAATGTAGAAAGTATCACCACTTCCTCCTTCTCTTATGATATACTCACCCGATGGATAAAAATCCTAAGCAGAAAAAAAACATACTTAAAATTGGTACAATATTAGGAAGCACTCCTTTTTGCGGGTATAATCGTGTGAGCTGGTGAAGAGATTACACTTTTTTCTGGATTTTATTTTTAAAAAACTATATTTAATTTCTTTTAAAGAATGTTATTTTATTTTATTTTATTTTATTTTATTTTAATAATTTTCTTCTTCTTATTCTGGAATCTCCCATGTTGACTCAACATTTTGAACTTATTTTATGAGTTCCATATACTTACAGCTTATGCACAATAATCAAAACTTATTAATTTTCTTAATTTTTTTCTTCTTCTTTTTATCCTTTTTGTATTTTGTATTTATTTATTGTGCTATATATATAGATATATACAATACTACCTTATATACACGGTGAATGTAGTTTAAGCTTTTTTAAATGTTATTCAGCATATTCCTAATTTAAATAACTGCTTTGAATAAGTTAAATGAAACAAATATGCAAAAAGGAAGCTAACTCATTTTTGAAAAATTAAGCCGTTTTTTGCATCGTAATAAAGATAAAAACTTCCTCATTGAAGCGATTAAATAAAAATAATATTTAACTAATAATAGTTTTAATACTATTACATTTTAAAAAAATCATTTAAAAATTTAATTGAAAAAAATTTTTAAATCTTATAATAGAAAATCCAGAAACTTTTTACAATTTGGTAAATTATAAAAAACTTGAAACTGAAGATAATTGTCAACTACAAAGCTAGATGGCATTTCTGCTAAATAAACATCACTTAAATAATAAATATTTTTCTACCGTATCTTTAAAAATAATCATTTTAAGTAAGTGGAATATTATAAATTACTAAACTTGAGATAATTGTGGATGAAGAGCTCTTAATATGAATGCCTTATTTTCAAGCCTGCAGTGTAAAAAATATTAATGGTAGCATAATTGAGAAGAATATTGTAAAAGTTCTAACGTATTCGTAACTACTAAATATTTTTTTAATTGAAAAGAAGTAAATCATAACCTGAAAATTCATAAAAATATTTTTTTCAACTAAAATGTGAAGTAATATTTTAACAAAATTCAGCAACTTTGAATTAATTTTTTTTCAGTTTTCACTTTTTTCTTGTCATGCAAACAGTCTAATTATGAAAGATTGCTTCAAATGAATTTTTTTTAACAAAAATAGGACATATTTCAACTTTTAAAATTTGCTATCGTTGAATAAGTGAGAAATTTTTTTTATTTAATTTTTTAAGTTGATACAGTACCTCATTTTGAAATAGTTTAAATTTATAATATGAAGTCAAATCGTAATGATTATATTTCTCTATATTAAAAGAACGTAAACACCGCCGCTGTTTTAAGTGTTCAACTTAAAGTTACATTTTGTTTTGCTGATCAAGAACTATTAGACTTAGAAGCTCGATACAATGAAGGTGTGTTAAAAAGTACAGAGAATAGGATGAAGTGAAGAAAATATGTTCCATAGTTAGTTCGAGAATCACTTACCAGGAAGGTAAAAAAAAATACTACGCGGACCTGCAACTACAGAGTTTAAATTTGACATGATGAAAGAGCCATTTTTATTACTGTTTTATAAACATAACGCCTTGTTTTTTTTCCTTTCAAAATTCCAATTTGTTTGAAAATTATTACTGACTTAAATTCTATTTTCATAAAAAGAAAATATTTTTTTTGCTTTAAATGTTGATTATTTATCCATTGTTGGATAAAAGACTTATTTTCTTTCTCGAGATCATTGTTTCATAAATCACACTAAAGTTAGTATCTATCGCAAAAGTAACGAAAAATAAAGGAAAAATTACTGTCTTAATATTTGCAATAAAAGTTTTTAAAAAAACTTAATACATGAGAGATAAAAATTTATTTGAATTATTATATGCGTGGTCAAGAACTAAAAATACTTCTCGTTAATTTTTTTCCTTCGGTCATCACAACTTTTATTCCTCGTGTGAATTTTTTTCAGCCCAGTTGATTATCCATATAATAATCCATTTTATAATAACTATTATAGTAACTATTACATATTGACAAAATATTCTTACCTGAATCTGCAATAATTGTTGCTACTGTAGACAAAATGGTTTGTGTTTTTCTATGAAATATCAACCTTAAAAAATAGGTGAATGAGAAGCAATTACGAGAATTGGTGAATCGAGTCTACCAGTATGATTTGAAAAGTGTCAAATTTAACAGAATGTTGTAAAATCAATCATTACAAATTGATGTTATCATCGATTATTCGGCAATTCAAGATATTTCTGTGACAGGGTATTTCGTTAAAATCTAATAAGATGAAAGTTTTATACGTTCTCTTTTCAATATGATTGATTTAGAACTGAATTAAATAAAATATAAACATTGGAATATGTTACCTACAAAAAAGCTGACATTGTAAACATTTTATAAAAATGTTTAGCTGAGTATGAAATGCGAGAGTTGTTATATACTTTGCTTTCTATAAATATGATCATTTGGCAGAAAAAAGAGAAAGCAAAACAGGGCTTTATTTTTGTAATGTGTGCAATGTGTGTAAAATCCTAATTCTTTCATGCTTCAACTTTGCTGATAACAATCACTGCAATTTAAAAGTATAAGGCTGCAAACGTAGAATAATGTGAAATTTTTTAACATCTCATAAATATCAGATTAAACCTAAGAATCTCCATTTTTTTCGTATATTAGTCTCTTAAATAATCAAACTTATTTGTGCTTTAAAGATGAATAGCTAAAAAGCTTATTTTTCAATCCTGGCTCTTTATTAGTTATTTAAAATGAAAAAGAAATCTCTTTTGATGTTCTTATTATTTTATTGTTTTTCTATTGGCAAAATCTAAAAGATTTAAAAAAAAAGAAAATATAGTAGGATTTATTTTAAAGTCAAATTCATTACGAAACAAAAAAAAATTAAATCTTTTTATGAAATTTTGTTAAATTAACGTCGGCAAACTTTCGACATATATTTTACTTTTACGATTTTCTTTTAATATCATTTTTTTTAAAATCACGCCGATAATAAATTAATATTTATCTTTGTTAAATCCCATTTCTTGCAGTTTTTTTAGTGAACCTAATTTGCTCAAGATACGCGATTTTTAATTTGGGTAAAAGATTCTCAATTATTAATATTCTTGAGATAAATTTCCTTTTTCTTAACACTATAAGCAAATGTTTGTACATGTTCTTATTAAATTATATTTTCTAACAAGTCACTTATCTTAAATAGAATGATAATATTACTTTCATTATTTAGTAACTGCTGAAAAGACTTTTTTTTACTTAAAATATATTAAAAAATAAAAAATAAAAATCAAGTAGTTCATTTTTCAAGCCCCAAAAGCATAAAATGTGTTCTTCAAAAATTGTTGTTTCAAATTTCAAGATTATATTTTCTGTTCAGCAACAAATCTTTAGCAAAATTAAAGTTTTATTAAGTTTCTTATAAAACAAAATGGGTTTCTTATTAAAAAATAACTCATAAAAAAATTCATTTTTTACGAGTTGTAATTCTGATTAGAACTGAATCAACAACTTAATATTAGCTTTACTATTGCTCTGTTATCAGTGTAATAAAGCAATTTGGTATTACAGTATGTGAAAAATAATAAAGATATGAAGCATATTGATCGGAATAAATGCACATTCAAAACTTGGGCTATTTCCTGGCATTATGCACTTACACAGTATTTCCTCCAGCAATATTTTTAAGATTTTTAAAATATCATATGGAAGATTGATTACTGTTAATTTTTTATTGTATTTGTTTATTGTTTATTGTTAATTGTGGAAAAAAATAGAATTACAGGTATATTGAAACTTTACGGTTCAGCACGTGTAACAAATCTTCCAATTTACTGTTAATCTGAATGTATATCATGAATCCAGCAATATCGCTTTTTCTGTTGCTATTCTTACTTCACGGTATTGTACAACCCGTGCTATTGTGCTGCGTGATTTTGACATTCGCGGTTTTTTCCGTTATGATTTTATCAAATAACTGTCAATAATGACAATCAACTTCTATAATGGAGCTAAAATTCTAAATAAAATTATAGGTGTTAAAAAAGTTTTAATCAATTTTATTGAATATTAATATGAATCTAAACTTAACCGAACAACAAGAAAACAAGTAAAGATATTTCTTATTAATTAACATACAAAAATTCCTTTACTTTCTTTTACAATCGTTTACATTCAAAATCATTACAATTCATTTACAGAAATTGTATTCGAGATATAAAAAAAAATAACATCTAGATATTCAAACTCAGCAAAAAAAAACTTTTTTTTCAAACAAATTGAGAACTGCTGTTACTTAAAGAGTTTCATGGCTCATAACGAATTACGTATATAAATCTAAACAGGTATTTTTCGGATTGAGCTGGTCACAAAACAAATCGTATATTTTTGTGTATATACGTGAAAAACTTTCTGCATGTCTTATTCTGTTATCGATCTTTATCTTGCACCCACATAAAACTGATGATTTAAATAGCTGAAACTTATTGTTCAATGAATGATATGGTCTTATTAATTTTTCCACAGTTTAGCATAAAGGAAACTTCTCTTGATAAAACAAAACCATCTATTAATCAAACTTAACAAAATGCACGACCAACGTGCTTATTTATCAACAGCTGTCGAACAACTGAAAGAAGAACAAAGTAGCAAATTGATGGCAGTAATTTGTGCGAGAAAAGTCAGAACAACTTCAGTTCGCTTCATACCAAGAATGCAAAATGTAGCAGTGCCGCCACAGGGCAATCTAGAAGTTGATTATTCACAAAATCTCGGGTGATTAATCTTTAATTCAGAAAGCTGAAACGCTGACTTTAATAATTAAATTTAACAAAATACATGACCAACGTGTTTATTTATCAACAGCTGTCGAACAACTGAAAGAAGAACAAAGTAGCAAATTGATGGCAGTAATTTGTACGAGAAAAGTCAGAACAACTTCAGTTCACTTCATACCAAGAATGCAAAATGTAGC